AAACTAAAAATATAATTCTCAAAGAATATTATTATGATTTCTACATTAAAATATTTTTAAATTGAATCATAAATGTCTTATAAATCATACAATTTCATTATTAATAATTCTATTTCATATTATTTTTATAAAATAATAAATTTCTTTTATTAATAATAAAAATATTTATAAAAATTAATTTTATTAATAGAAATAGTAAAATTAACTGTTATAATTTATATTAGGCATTTTGCATCATGATATCATAATTCAATAAAAATATTTTATTTTATTGCACAAATTTACTTTTTACTTTTAATAAATATATACAATTGTTATATACAAGAATGTATAAGATATAAAATATAGGTTTCTTAATTTGTTTCTAATTCATAATATATAAAATTTATTATTTCTATTGAAATCTAACAACTTTTCACAAAAGTTTGTGAAAACTGTTTTTATAACCTGTTGGCAAAATACAATTTTTAAACGGATTTTTTTTAATAATATGAAAAATTCTTAAATTACATTTATTTCATAATATAAATAATATAATATATATATATATAAAAAATATAAATTGGAAAATTCTCTTTACTTTTTTATTCATTTTATTTTTTAAAATTGGACTATACTCAAGTAGAAATTAAAAATTGCAATACAACTAAATCAGAAATCTTTAATTCTATGTCTAAAAATTATTTTTGGTATATCTATGACATAAATCAATATAATTTGATATTTATGTTCGTTTTATATATCATATTAATAAAATTAATTAAATGAACTTTTATTTTATATATATTTAATATTTAAATAGAATTATTTAGAACAAATATTAATCTGATATATTAAAAATCTTAATAATCATAAAAAATCTTTATTATATTTCTATTTTTTATAAAGAAGTATTATTTCAAACATACAGTTTTGAATTAATTTAATTATGTTACAAAATATTTAAATTAAAGTTATTTAAAATTTTTTCTTTTTAAATCTGATTATTAAGATCTTAGCAGATTTAATAAAAATGATATATTGTACTTTTTAAATCACAAATATAAGCTGAATAGCTATTTATAAATCTGTTATATGAAGTATATATTTAAATTGATATATAATGAAGTTCAACTAAAGAAGAATTATTAAATATCAAAGAAAATAAAATTAATATTTGTAATATAAAAAATCTCTAAAATTTATCTTTTTTTTATCATTTTGTGATATGATATTAATTGAAAATATTATTAACAACAAGAATAATTTATATAAAATAATAAAATACTTCATTTTAATTAGTAACACAAGCAATAAGATAAGCTATTATAAAAAATTATAATGCAGTCTCTTTAAATATTTTGAATATTTTAGTGAAAAGCTAAAGACTGGGATTATAAAAAACTTTCAGTACTTATAAATTGATAGAACATTCACAAAAAATACTAAATAAGTAAAAATAAACATAAAACTAATAAGTACAAATAATTTATTGGCTATCATGTATCATTTTAAATGACATTATATTATGAATAATTGAATTAATTTAATTCATTTATTTTATTAAATATAGAATATTCATTAAAAAAAATTCATTAGTTTTTTTTAATTCATTTTCAATTTTGATACATGATATTTTTTTACTACAAATACACGCAGTGCATAACGATACAATTTTTTATGATTATAATATTGTTCTAATGTTACCTGTAAAGATCACGGACAGCTTGATCCTCTCGAGATGGATTTTGACATGTATTTAATTTATTCTCCAATGCCTATATAATGAAATATTTATTGTTAATTAAAATACTATTATTTTTCTTAAGAATATTGGCAAATATTTAGAACTGATGATACCATTTACATGTAGAATAATTAAAACAGATAATAAAAAATCGTAATGTGTACAGAAGAAAATATGCAGTATAAAGCAAAAGAAATCAAATAAAGACCTGTACACAAAAACTTGATCAGCACTTGGTTGATCTAGGTTGTTGCCATATACAATGAGGAGATGTATAAACCTGGATGGATGGTAAATCAGTAGGTGTAGTGGAAATTGTATTTTTCTCACTCAGACAAGTGCACTTTACCCTTCTGCACTCCATGCAGACCCATCTGTCAAGCTACCAAAATACCAGCTACATCATACTACAGATGTCTTTAACTGATATATTTATCAAAGCATTTTATATAAATTGAATTGAATTATTTTGATAAAAATATTTTATATAAAATAAATCTGTTGCTTAGAAAAAAAATAAAAGGAAAATAAATTTTATAGATTAATTGCAATGGAAAACTAAAATATATATATAGCAACTAAATACATTTAAAACTCAAAGATACACAAGCCATGCTTTAAGCTACTTTTGTACATTGTGCTTTTGAAATGGAAATACTAATATATTTGTGTGTATGTGTGTGTGTGTGTGTGTATAAAATAATGATTATACTTACACCAACTTTCCTCATAAGATCACCAATCATATTCATTGCTAGTATTCTTGTGCATGGTGTCAGTGGTGGATTCACATTATTATTGTTATTGTTGTTTCCAGTTATACCTCCTACAACTTTGTTTCCAACTATTTGTAAATAGAAAAATATGTAAATTATAGATAATATAATATAATAATATAAATATTAAATTCATAAAAAACACTGAATTAATAAAACTATTGTACAATAATATTTAGAAAAAAAATAAAAAAAAATGTTATTCTTGTCAGTAGAAAGTATAATATTTAGAAACTAAAATAAAGAACAGGTTTGTTAAAATAATTTTTATTCATTGATAACAATATCATATGTATATACAGAAAGATAAAATTAATTAAAACGCACGTTAAATTAATTAAAAGTATGTTAATCAAGCATAAATTAGATTAAATTTTAATCATCCTTAAGCACTGATAAATAAGCAAACTTATCATAAAAAAAATTTCAAGTAATGTACAAAAAATATATATTACATACATTAAAAAATGAATTAACTTCATTTTTTTGTTTGTTATTTATAACAATTTTTGATTTGTTAGATATAAGTATTTTTTCTGCTGATCATTATCTTTATTAATGATAAGGATCATCTTTTAGGCCCAAAGCAAAACATGCGCTTAGTTTTACGAAGAGTATTATGGATCTTACTTTTTAATGGTGAAGTTGTTGTATTATTTGGAGATATGGATTGTGGTACTATTGGACTACTAGGCGACATGTGTGCTTCCAATTCAACTTGAAGTTTATTACTATCAACATGATTCCGAATTCTATCAGCTGATTTATCATTATCTGGTTGATGCCTTTCTTGTACTTGAATTTCCTGTTTTAAATCTGTAATAAATTATATATTAGAAAAAATTTAATGATTATATAAGATTTATTTATAGTCAATGAATTCAACCTCTTATTTCATCCATTAGTCTTTGTACTATAACTTTTAAAGCTTCTTTTTCATCAAGCTCTGATTCTAATAAAGCATTCTTTTCAATAGCAGAATTAAGTTTAGCTTCTATTTCCTCTTCTGTTACCCTATTTATTCTGCAAAATTAAAATTAATAAAAAAATATTATATTAAATATTTTATATTTACTATTTTATATTACTATAATATATAGCTGCATAAATATATATCACCTATGAGCTCTTTCTAAGTCATCATTCTTTTGTTCTAATTCTCTTATATATTTTAATAAATGATCATGTTGTGTCTGTAAGTCCTGAGCTTTTCCTTGAAACATTGCACAATCTGCTGTTTGTTGATCTAATCTTGTTCTTAATTGTTCAACTTCAGTAGCCAGTCTTGTATTTCGTTGTCGTAATTCTCTGTTAGTTTTTTCTGCTTGTTCTAATGATGCTTCCAGTTCTTTTTCTAACAATTGTGAATTTTCTTGAAATTCTTCCAATTCTCTTTCTATATCCTCTTTCCTATAATGTTACAATAATATTTATTTTATAAATAAATATTATTTGATCATTATAATTTATATATAATGTTAATGTACAGCTTTGAATAAATATATAATAGTACATTATTTTTATTTAAAAATATAAAATAATTCACCTTCTATGTATTTGATGAGCAAGTTCCATCCAATATTGAATTTCATCATCTTTGGACACAAATTGTGGAGGATCAATGTCCATCATTTTAACAATATTTTAATTTTGTTCAATACTTTAAAAAATCTTTTTAAAAATTAAATATAACAAAAATTATTTTATTTCATTAATGATACATTGGCATTCTGCAAATAAAATAAATTCATTTAAATAGATGTGAATTTAAAATAATTAAAGATCAGATTTAATGAAATAAAAATCTTATCAAATAAATTTAAAATATATTAAATCTTTCATTAATATGCACGATATAATGATAATCATGGTGAAAGTTTTGTTTGTTGAAGAAAAAAAATTATATTACGGTACATACCTATGCATCTATATACGACAAATGCGATGTCAATCTAACCTACTAATAACGAATCGCTAACAATCACAAAACGCGGCAGAAAATTATTTCAGAAAGAATATTCCAAATTACGAAATAATGAAAAAAAATATTAAAAGATTAAATATGAATTATGTTATGCATAATATAAGATCGAAATTGACGCATAAAAATCGTAGCCATAAAAGAACACTTACATGTATCTTTAAGAGAGGACAAGGCTAGTAGGCGAGTAAAAATGGTCCAGTGTAAATAAAACTGTCCACCAATTGAACTGAATTAAAATAATAATGCTTAAAATATTATCTAAAAAATGCTGTATAATACACAATCATCAATGATGTGTAGGCGCATTAAATGAAATTGTTTCAAAATACATATAAATATAGAGACCTTGAGAAAACGCTTAGCAGGTGAAACGTAGTGTACCGCGTGTGACACAAATGTCATTACCGTGTAATTATGACTCACTAGTCAGGATGGTAAGGTAGAAAAAAAATTTATCTTTTTCTTGTTACAGCTTCTTGTCGTTGATTGTGGACGTGGACAAATTTCCAAAATCGTTTGAGACCGGTTGTCGGTCTATTATTAAGGGACACCGTCCCACAATGGATTTACATCCAATTAAATTTCTATTTCCGGAAATTAGATTTTTGAATGAAAAGATGCAGTCGAGTTGCAAAATGGCAGATACAAATAGAATCAATGCTGGTTCGTTCACAATTCTACAGCGTAGTAAGGTGGCGTTCGCAAAAGCTAACCGGTTACGAATGCATTCGATATGGTGGCAGAACGAAACAGAATGGAATGTAATGCGTTATTCTTTTGCTTCTCATTGGGCAATACTTTAAAATGCGCGAAGAATGTAGCTTTATTTGTTTAGTTTATTTATTTAAGAATGATATTAAAAAAATTTTAACATTCAAAAAATAGTTAATATTTTATATAATGCTTTTAACTATTTAATAAAATAGTTCAAAAATTAAATTTTTTATTTTTTTGTTAACATATTCAATAACGAATAAAATTTTATATATTATCATTATATAAATAAAAATTTATTCGATATATTGATAATTTATATTAATACTATATTTAAAAAAATCTTATATAAAGAATTAAATTTTATAAAAAGATTTGTATATTTTTATATACATATTTTTGCATATATCTTTTATATATTTCAGTATATTTATTCATTATATATATATTTTTTATAATATGCATAATATTTTATATATATTTTATATATAAATATATTATATATATTTTATATATTTGTATTATTGCATAATATTTTATATATATGTTCGTAAGTTTTAAGTTAAATTTTTTTTCTTTTTTTACATAGATGCGAATTTATTAAAAAAATAAACTTCTTTAATCCATAGATTGCTATAAATATATATATATATTATTGTTACAATATATATTACTTATTCTAATAAACTTAATCTATTGTCTTCTATTAATTTTTGCTTTCCTTTATTCTATTAATATTTATATTTTCTTCTTTCTAATAATTTTATTTATCATTTTCGCATTATCCTTGATTTTATGTATTACTTTATATTTATTCGTATTTTAAAATACTGATTTATATATATCTTATTATATTATATTTATTACAAAATTTATTAATAATTTTAAGGGCAAATGAAACATCTTATTGACATTAGCAATTCATTATGCTCAACTATAATTATATGTCAATGAAAAATATCTTATCAATGAAATGATTCTTAAAAAGATGGTGCCACAAATCAAAGACTATTAATAAATTTACTTTATTGTTAGTAACAATGTATAACTTCTAAATATTTTTCAGACAAACAATGCTGCTAATAATCAATTTTCAACAAATTTCAGACAATTCAATATAAAATATTATCGTTTATAAAAGATTATAATTTTGAAAAAATTAAATCTAAAAATAATAATTCATTAATTTTCATTGATTTATGTTAATTTTGTAATTCTTATCTAAAAATTGAATGGAATGGATTTTATTAATATTTTTAATTAAAAGATTAAAAGATCAAAAGAAAAAATAAAAATAAGAAAATAAAATCAGAAATCGTTATTACTTTTTAATTACATTAATTTTTAAATATAGACAAAGAGAATAAATAATAAAAAATGAATAGAGATAGAATAAAAATTATTGTTATTGAAAATTATTGAAAAAAAAGTGTTATTTTAAATAAGAAAAATATTTCTCTAAAAATAGAAGTCTATCTGATAGATAAGATAGAATAAAAATTGAAGATTAGTATCATCTCTTAAGTATCAAAGACATTTCTCTAAAAATATTGGCATATATTACACTTATCTTCAATTCTTACTTATTCTCACATTATTCTGTTTTTGAAGAAATATGTTTATTATTTAAGAGATAGCGCTAACAGTCAATTCTTACCTTATTTTTATTTTGCTTTTATTTTTTTTCATGTTTGTATAGGTTTCATTCTGAAAATAGAACTAATTCCATGATTTTTAATCTATGTCTGTTTTTTTCTTATTATGTACTTTTCTTATTTATATTTTATATACAATCATAAAAATATATGTGATAAATATATAAAAATACAAATCGCAGAAGATATAAAAAATCCTATTTTGTTCGAAGTCAGCATTTCAAAACATGGGATACAAAATATGGGATATAAGATTTCGTGTATATATCTTCTTTTTTTTTCTTTTTTACACAAAGAAAATTTTTCAAAAATAATAATTTTAGAAGAAAGACATGGATAGTATGAGATTTTTATCCACTAAAATTCTTATATCTACACGCTCAGATTATATGTATATATATATATAAGATTTCCTCCACTATCATATCTATTTTGTAATATATTTACAATTAAACATTTTTGTATACAAATTTTCTTTTTAGTTCATTAATTTACTTTTTTGATAAATTTTTTTGAATGTAATCTATAATTCAAAATAATAAAAATGAAATATATACTATCTTCGAATATTAATCTATAATCGATTCCTAATAAGTTAAACGTTTATACGTCAGAATTTTTTAACTGTGGAACAATTTCCTGTCATATTTGCGATGACATCGTAACGACATTTTGAAAAGGGATCCAGTATGTTTTGTAATATTTGTCAAACGAAATTTTCCTTTTTTACAAAAGAAGTAAGTTATTATTTTTTACAATAATATCATTCAGAATTTAGGTTATACCATATTATTACATATCATCATCTTTTACAATTTTTATTATTAATTATTAATTTGAATAATTTTTTATATACTTTGTCATCTATTTTATTTTTCTTGTATTATTTAGGTTGCTTGTCCAGGTTGTGATTTTTCGTGTTGCAGTAAGTGCCTCAAATATAAATTTAATATTCCAGATAAAGGAGTAAAAAAAATCTGTGGTCGTTGTTTTAATAAAAAGAATTATTCAAACAAATCAAGTTGTTATAATAATATTAAAATGTTGGATGAGCATGAAGAACTAATGGTTCCAGTAGATATTACAAAAAAGTATATTGTTTATAAATATATATTCCAAATATGTTGTGAAATATGTAAAATAATTTAATATGTTTTAATATGTATTCTATATATATATAGACTAGATTCATTAGAGAATCCAGCAAAACCTCCCATTGTAATATATAAACATACAAATCATTGGGACAAATTTAAAAATGGTTTAGAACCAGTGGATCAAGAAATAGTTGAAAGATTACGAAAATTAAAAGAAGAAGACAAAACTACAACTTTGAGTGTGGATGAAATAAGAAGAAGATTAGCATTATTAAAAGATGAAGATGGAGATATTAATCAGCAAAAAATAAATGTACATTAATTATTATATTATCTAAACATCTATACAATAAATAATAAAAAATTCTTTTATCAAAAATATAATATAAATAGTTTTATTTTCTGTAGATACATCAAGTGGATATCAGAACAGATCAACAGAAAACAGATGATTTAATAGAAGAATATTTAAAACAATTAGAATTATCATCAAGCAGTGATTCAGTTAGTGAAATTCAAACAAGGTTAAGATCATTACAAGGCATTAATAAAGAGGTATAAAATTGATACATAAATATTAAGTTATAATTGATTGATAATTATAAGAAAATTTTTATTTTAGCATTCAATTAATGATATTAATGATGAAAATCATGTAACAAACAAATTAATTGCAAAAGCTTTGGCAGAAGCAGAATTGGAGAAAAAATATGAAGAAAATATGGATAAATTGGAAGAAATGGAGATTGAGGTATATGAAATTAATTTTAATAAATAATTACACATGAAGTTTTGATTAAATTTAATAAATGCAGGAAATAAAGCATATCAATGATGAAGATGAAAAACCTAGCTGCATAATGTGCGATCAAACTGAAGATTTAGAGCAATGTTTAGGTTGTCACGGCGATTTGTATTGCGCCATATGCTTTGAAGATAATCATGATGATTTTGAAATGAAAAAGCACAAAAGAGAACCAGCAAAGAAGTTAAATTATTATTAAATAAAATTAAATAGAAATTTTAGAGAAATGCTTTGCAATAATTCAAATGCAATTTCATTGTTGATACTTGTCTAATTTATAAAAGAATCTTATGCTTATAATATTGTCACTTGCAATTTTTAATGAAAATATTTCTTACAAAATATATAAACATGAATATAAATAATATATAATTATAATAAATGTTTTAGTTATAAGTTTTAAAAAATTATTATGCTATATTTATTTTCACAGTAAATAATTTTGTAATATTCTAAATTTAATAGATTTAATAAGATATATTTATTTGTATAAAAAAAACAAATTAATTTGAAAAAAATTATTTGTTTATCATCAATGTACATTATTAACATTATTAACTTAAAGTTTCATTGATAATCTTTAATTAAATATATAATTTCTAATGAATCATTTAATAAATTCTCAAAATGATATTTCAAATCTATTTCAATATACAAAAAATTTTGATCTTTTTTTGACTAGATTTTAAAATTTTTTTAAATTAATTCAATTAAAATTTGCTAAACAGTTTGTTAAAATTTTGCTTTTTCCAAGATCATTATTCTTCTGGTTTAAATATCAAAATAAATTGATTGATATAGATTAAATATCGATAAAGATTCACTGACATTCTCACTGGTATTTCTCGTAGATAGTTCGTAATAGAGCAAAAAGCTCTTTTCAAAGTCTGAGCAATTCTGCTATATTTAGACGAGTTGTACATACCTATTGTGCTAAATTTTCGCAGTACGTATCCGTTACTAACGAAACGTTTGCTTTTGTTTCTATAGTTCACTTTGTTTAACAATAAAATCTGTTTTCAAATATTTTTTTCTTTATTACTAATATTTCTTCATTAGTTATTTAATAATTGCATAATTATTTGATATTATAAACTTTCATTGAATTAGAATGAATTGATTAAATTTGACTGATCTTTTTAATCAAATGTAATTGCATTACATTTATTATTATTTTTTTTCATTATAAGAAATAATAAAAATCAAATTTTTTTTTAGTTTTAAAAATATATATGACTTTTACAAACATCATATGAAAATAATAATGAATCTATTGTTACTTATTTATTGTTTATAATTTTTTTGTTTTATAATTTATAAATTATATTTTATAATTATATTTTTTATATCAAATAATTTATTCATTAAAAATTCATAAATAAACTGTTTAAATATAATGATATAATGATATAATTCATGTAATGAATTTTAAAAATTAATTTTATCTTTTTTCAATCAATTTTTTTTCTTCCTTTCTTTATTTATAAATATATTTATAAAAATATCTCCGAAAATAATTTATAGAAATTTAATAATAATTGAAATGTTATTATTAATAAATCATTCATATCTAAAGCCCTGATTTTACTAAAATTTTATTATTGTATTGTTAGAAAAATTCTAAATATTTTTTTTAATTCTAATTAAAACTTATTTTTTTCAATAGTAATCATTATATGTTAAATTTTAATAAGTATATAAATAATAAATGATTTTTTTATATATGTTTCTTTATATAAAGGATAAAAATTAAATATAAATTTCTTATTTAAAAATTAATATTACAATTTTTAATATAATTTTCTATGAAAAAAACAGTTCAAAAGCATTTCATTTCATTTCATTTCAAATTTTTTAAAAAATAACATATCTTTTAAGTAATGACATTTTAGTAGATTTATTACACTGTATGCAATTTTTGATTTTGTGATTTCAATATTCATCAACTTTTATGTAAAAATTTTGGTAAAACGATTTTATGCAATTCTATTGTCAATTTTATATTCTTTTTTTATCTATATCTTTCATTTTTCTTATTATCTTTATTATTTTATTTAAATTTTATTATCTTTATTATTTAAATGTATTATTTCCATTTGTTTTGATATCTTCTGTCTTGAATAGTACATTATATATACATTTTACATTTTGTCTTTCATTTAATATGTTAACAATTTCATTGTAAGCACAGGAAATAGGAATTTTTTAATTAGAAAGGATTATACGATTTAAATGATCAGATTGTATTTTCAATCGAATGCGTTTGTTCATAAAATAATTATATTTTCATTGCAACATTTATACGATGTTCTACTGACAATTTTTATTTGTTCATCATCACAATGAAATCATTCATTCATCTATTCGTTTTGTCTATTATATAATCATTTATTCTTTCTATACATACTCTTTTCACACATCATTAAAAATACAAAAAAATCTTCAAAACACATATTCTCTAAGAATATGTAAATATCATACAATTATTATATATTAAACAAAAAAGGAAAAAAAACAAAAAACGAAAAATAATGATGAGTATCATGAGATATAACAAGGAACCATAAAATAGTGCACCCTATATCTTGTTACTACTAATTAATTTATTTTAAAAAAGTAATAGTAAAAGTAATTTAATTTAATTAAAATAATGTTTCTTAATGTTAAAATTCGAATTAATGTTATCATCAATTATAAAAAGATATAATGATTAAAAGATTAAGATGATTTAAAATAATAATGAGTAGGATGCATTATTTTTCATAAGACGAACACATATGATCTAATATGTACACAGTTTATATATCACATATATTTCGTGACAACATATGTGTACACAATCTTAAAATAAAATGTTTCAAAAATTCACAGATTTTGTTATATGTTAAATCAAGTAAAAAATGCTTATTTATTTTTATTTAAATTTAATTATTAAATAAAAATTATATATTAAATTTTTATAAATTATTTGTATGATATGAAAAATTTCATATAAAAAAATAATTTTATGATTTTGTAAATATTATAAAATTAATAAATACATTTTTTATTAAACATTTTTTAATATTCTTTTTTATTATTTTATTAAAAATGAAATTTAAAAAGATAGAGATAAATAAAGAAATTTAATATAATTTTTGTAATTAATTTTTTTTACTTATTATTTTTATTATTAAAAATCTGTAAATTTCTGAATCATCCTCTTTATGTAGCCCCTAACATGAAAAACACGAAAATCGTGTTTAAATCGTTCAACAGATGCACAATAAATTATAAATAATAATAATAATAATAATAATAATAATAATAATAATAATAATAATAATAATAATAATAATAACGATGATGAAGTTAATTTTATCGTGCCTCAGGTCGTACATTGTAATACTATACTATATAATCGTAAGAAACAGACGCATTCTGTTCATTAACATTTAACAATCTCCAACGTATTTTCTTTTTAACGACATCATCATCATTCAATACATTTAAAAATTCACGCAATAGTATCAAAAGTTCATTCTTTAATCTTATTATCAATATCGATTTATTAGAGTTTCGATAATACAACGAATACTAAATATCAGTATCTAAAAAATTGAATATGAAATCAAATCTTTGAATCTCCCTCAAACAAAATCAATTCTTTGAATTATTAATCATTACCAATTATTATTTTTTTTTATTTTTATTTAATCAATCACTAATAAATTAAATAATCGATAAATCAATAAGAAAAAGAAAATATTTAATAAATAATGTATCTAATTACGATAATAATATAATAATAATATAAAATAAAATAGAAAGAAAGAGAAAAACAAAGAATTATTTCTAAATGAGAGTCAATATTTTAATTTAAGTGCAAAATTTGAACATTATCGTCAAAATATATAATACAATCCGGTGAATGTTACATATGATTTCGTTTAAAATCATATGTAACTGCGGTATAGAAAAGAAAATAAGGGGACAGCTTCGTTCAAATGCAACACAACAGCGAAAACAGCCTTAAAAATGCTATATTCGTTGTAAATCCTTTTAAATACGCTTTAAATTCATTGAACAGATTCCGTATGTGCTTCCCCTGTTTGAATTATAATAATATGGAAATTAAAATAACGAAGTAGAACAGAAGAAGTTTTTGATCAGCATGATTCTATGCTGATGAACAATTGTGCGATTATCACGTCGATCCACGACGTTTTTGTCAATCTGGCACCAAGAATAATCATAAAACAGAAAAGAAATAACGATCACAAGACTTTGTGATTTCTTGAATGAAAACAGTTATTTTGTTCTAAAGATACACAAATTAACAATAACTAGATTGACGTATCTTTTAATACAATTAAAATCGTGACACTAATTTTTTTTGTTATTTTATTTTGCATTAGCTTCGGTACTTTCTGGAGCTGGCAATGGTATAGGTTTATCAGAAATTGGAACCTGTTTTTTCGTCTTTTTTCCTTTCTTTTGCGATTTAGGTGATTGTTTTATTTCACCACTATCTAGATCCATCTTTTCTTCTGTTTTCTGTTGTTTTTCTTGAGTAAACTGTGCATTTTCTGCTTTCTCTGTTTCTTTTTCTTCTTTGATACCTTTTTCTATTTTATTCTTTTCAGTAGTTTCTTTTATTTCTTTAGCAGTATTTTCTACCTTGTGATCAGAAATGTTCTCTATTTTTTTTTCATCTAAAAAATTTTCTGACTTATTCTCGAAAGGAGTATTCTTTATAGGTTTCTCAATAGAAATATCTGCTTTTTTCTCTTCAGTGATGTATTTTTGTTTCTTCTCTTCAGAAACATTTTTCAATTTCTTTTGTTCAGTTATATTCGTTTCTTCTGGACTTTGCTGTGTATCCATTGCAATCATTTCCTGTTTCTCTGAAATTGCATTTATAGATTTGTTGGAAATTTGATTAGTTTCTCGTTGTGGATCAGCTGTTTGATTATTATCGAAACTTTCTAATTTCTCCACACAAGATTCGATAATCTCTCCAGTCTTTTTCATTGGAGATGATGGGCCAGGAGGCAGTGGAATGGCTTCCTTATTCTGTGATTGATCTTCCGGTTTCTGATTCATGTTTGTAGATTCCATTTTTTCAATCTCTTCGGTAATGTTGGAAACTTGATCTTTCTGTTTTTTCTGTTCTTCTGCTGACATTTGTTGCAAAGGCAATGGCGCCTTTGATTCCAGTAAGCTAATCGTTTCTTGTATACTTTTTATTGCGTTTTTACGTGCCTGTCGTACATTGTCTCTACCCTCTGTTTCAATATCGTCTAATTTAATTAATTCTCTAGTAAGCATTTCATCTAAATAAATATATTCTTTATCTGTTCTCGAAATGCCATTATATTGCTTGACTTGTTCAGCCAAAGCATCAACTTCTTTTTGAACAAGAGCT